CGGCGGCATGCGGAGCTGAACCGGAGGCGGCATCAGGAGCTGAACCGACGGTGGCATGCGGAGCTGAACAAGAATAAAACGCTAGTCTAACGGTTCTCCACTGTGCTAAGCCGACATTATGTTAGTTTCTAGATTCATTGCTCTGCCATTGAATGATGTCAGCATAATTGTTGCAGCCTGAGGCAAGTCAAGCAGCATTTTATAATTATTTCGATGCATGTAGAGCCAAAGTTTAATAATCGCATGAAATACAGCACAATTTTATTCGCAAATGAAGACCACCGCAAACATCACGGAATAATTAATGACAGTGACAGTCGAGAAAACTTCAATATGACGCCGGTCTTTACAAAACCATACTTATCAATAGAGTCAAAGCTTCTGGACGCAATGGGAAGGGAGCCCGAAGCTTCCTCTCAAGTTTTCACTAACACCTATAGACTCTTCCAGTGTCCATGTTTCCAGAGGCCGTACAATTAAAGCTCACTTACAATTACACCTAGCGGCCTTAGTACGCCTAGCGGCCTAAGTACTCCCAGCAGCTACTTTCCCGTATGCGATTGATCGCTGTTGCTAAAAAGTCAATCACTGATTGGCTAACGCTGTTGAGAACTCGTAACTGTTTTTGATAATAAGGACGCAGAAATGTCACCTTCGCTCGTCCGTTCAAGGATGCGTTGCGTACCCAGGCAGATATCCTCAGCCAGGGTAGTGCTTTCTAAACGGAAACACCGGAGTCCTGACGTACCGTTATACTGTAGCCCCGACACCGCTACAGACTTTCTCCCTCCCGCCTGACACCTACGTGCTCTGCGTTTGTCATTGAACATATTAAGCTCATTACTAAACGGAGGATTCATTTAAAACTCGTCTTCTACTCTGGATTCTGAATGCGACAATGATGCTTTTGTTTGATTTTAGTTGGGCCTTCGCGAAAGAGATGGTAATGTTAGCGGCTAAATACCTGATAAGAATGACGGACAAAATTAGATGTCCCAGATAAGGATGGATCAAAGAAAGTGGCCGAAGAACAGACGCTCAAAATAAGGACGGATCAAGTGGCTCAACAAAAGATGTTCAAAAATAAGGATGGATCAAATGGCTCAACAAAAGATGTTCAAAATAAGGACGGATCAAGTGGCTTAACAAAAGATGTTCAAAAATAAGGATGGATCAAATGGCTCAACAAAAGATGTTAAAAAGATGTTCAAAAATAAGGATGGATCAAGTGGCTCAACAAAAGATGTTCAAAAATAAGGACGGATCAAGTGGCTCAACAAAAGATGTTCAAAAAAAGGATGGATCAAGTGGCTCAACCACAGACTGTCAAGATATGGCTAAAGCAAGTGACTTAACAATTACTATTTAGATTAGGTCAAGTCTTGCCTGGACACATATATTCTATCTAACTATAATGAACTAATTTCTGATCCGTCAATGCGGATCGCGTTGTGACAGAGAATCGCAAAAAGCTGTCAATCATTTCTTTGATCTTCCTGGTGAAATTTGAGTTAATCGAGCGATTATTAAGGTTGCACCGTCCATCCATTAAATTATCTTCAATTTGTGGTGGAAAAGCGCAAAATATAGAAGTCAGAGCTAGATTATTAGATAGTATTACATTGGAAACTCTCCTCTTTCGGTTTGAATGAAAAAATAAATAGCATCTTGATTTGTTTAAGCCTTTACCATGCGGTGAAAATATAACTCTACCTCGAATGCCATGGTAATTTTAATTTGCCTCTAACTGTCAACTTGAAAACACTTTGACACTAATTTACCTGCGTCCGTTAATAAATCCGATTTAATTAACAAGAGATAATACTAATTATTTAACCTTGACCTAGTTCTTCTACTGTGAATATATGTTCGATCGCTGAACAAAAAGATCACACGAACCTTGTAAAATATTGGAGCAAAGTCTGGAATGAGAGGAGGTCCTTGATACACAACCTGTCACCGCGACGTTCCAGACTCGAGTGTGGAAGACCCGCACGCAAGCGGTGAAGATGCGTCGTTAATTTGTTCCACATTAGTTCCCCCTCCAGAACGAAAACGATCGAGAATGAAAAATACCTTCTTGATTTTCTCGGAGGAATTAGGTTGAGAAATGAGCTGTAGCTGCCTCGCAAACGGATGAGAAATAATCCACTTTCTTTGACGGTTTTTTGCTCTTTCTTGGGAAACACGATGAAGTTGTTTGAGCTGATTGATGAAAAGGTGCAAAATTGCAGAGAAACAATATAATATAAAAAACGCGTAATAAATTGAAATTTTATGGAACGAAAAAATGTTAATAGCGGGAGAAAATCTTGAAGCTATGGTTAAATGAAAACATAAATGATTCGAATGACAGATAATGCAGAAAACAATCTGTTACAACAAATCTGTTACAACAACCTTACAACCTCAAGAAAACAACACCAACCTATTAATGTTGCGAATAAATATTGATCTTAATGCAGTCGCCTACTGCATCACTTATGACAACAACTCTGATTTATGTGGTTAAACCACTCGTCAAATAACAATAAACTATCTATTCGTGAGTTTATTTGTTTGCCACCGTTATCCATTAGTATAGTAGTATAGTAATATCAGTCACATCTTGCCTGTCATTGGGTCTAGACATAGCATGATTTTGACAGCTAACCCGGGTTCTAACCTGAAACTCTCATCTTGATACTCTTATCCTCTCGGCCACTCTAATTATAATAGCTAACCTATCATTAATCCTTTTCATTCAATTTTGTTACTATTAGGTTTCTTATTGTATTAATGGGTCAATGGCGAATTCATTTGACTAACTACCTAGGCGCCGAGAGATTACAAACCATGCACCCGACAACACCGGTCTACACATTGCATCAGTCGGTCACTTCAAGTAACGGTGCGAGTCCTGCATGTCCACGTCGGTTCTGCAGAGACATACGCTCTGCATGAACGCAAGAGAAAAAAAAAACATATATAGACGATTGGACTATACATGAACTATTGGGTAATACATGAACGATTGGACCATACATGAACTATTGGTAATACATGAACGATTGGGTAATACATGAACTATTTGGACCAAACATGAACGATTGGGTAATATATGAACGAATATACCATACATGAACGATTGGGTAATACATGAACGATTGGACCAAACATGAACGATTGCGTAATACATGATCGATTGGGTCATACATGAACGATTGTGTAATACATGAACGATTGTAACATGCATGAACGAATAGGTAATACATGAACGATTGGACCAAATATGAACGATCGGACCATACATGATCGATTGGACCAAATATGAACGATTGGGTAAAACATGAACGCTTGGACCATTCATGAACGATTGTATGCCTAAATATGAGCGTCAGTTGGCTCTTATTTTCGATGGGCTAAAGTAAAAACAAAATTTGCTGACATGGTTTATTAATTAATAATATAAGAATACTCTACGGAATTTTTATATGAAATTGATAATATATTTTTAAGCACTGTTACTCACACTGTTATTCACATTAAAAGTTGAAGCTTCGCGTCGCAATTTTTTTCATTTCAATATACTGCTGTGAGCAAATAATTAACCTATAAGAAATAAGCGAAAAAATATTCAATTTTAAATTTTTATTCGCTTATCTTGAGCCAGATAAATAATTTTAGAACAAATTACATTAGTTGAGGGCGAGAAGAGGATCATTCAGGATGAGAATCGCAAAGCAAGAATTTTTTTACCTGTATATATAAAGTCGCAAGTAAAACATTTTTTATTCCAAATCTTAATGCAGAAATCCGAAATCATTAAGCACCACTGGTGAAATTCGATCTCCGGAATTCAATTTTTATAAAATAATAGAAGACTTTGCAGCTTGTATTTATTATAATATTTTTTAACTCAAGCAACTATCATTCAAATGTGCTACATTTACTCGTAACAGTTATATTTTTTAGAACATAAAAACCGATTTATACGGGATCATTAAATATTTGATCTAATTTGTTTTATTGGTTTCATAGTTCCTAAGCCTCATTGTACTGATCTAAACCCCCTGCCATTCAATGACCCCTATGGGGACCACCTATCAAACGCCCGACGGGGGGTTTGCGTCAATAACTCAGCAGCGCATGACCACACACAACAGCTCTGAAAAATAGGAACGGTCCGAAGCGCCACCTGGTGGTGGTGGCGGCGAGGTGTCGGGGCCACACGCTGTACGTACGTTCATGGTCTTGATCTCCTGTGAAGCGTGATGCGTGACAGAATACAGCAAGCGTCTTATATCTCCCTATCATTTACAGACAGGCATGTTTGTGTGCTTTGAAACAAGTTTGTACTAAGTATTTTCGTGTTGGTGTTAACAACGATAATAGGTTCACTGAAATTTTTGGCATGTATTTTAATCTGTTAACCAATCCCTCTTAACTTCGTTTAAATCGAAATTGGCATGGAACCATACAAATATTTAGAGGCAATGATAGTGTAACATCTATGGCATAATTTTATTTTATTTTATTTTATTTAGGTGGCACACGTTTCTTGGCTTGCGATAAATAGGGTCAAAATGTGAATTATGTCGGTCCTGCGTAATACAATGTTTATCTTTGTTCGCAACTCATTAATTTTAAGCATATTATAATGCCTAATTAGTATAGAAAGGCGTGATCCTCGAATTTAAATTTAATTTCAGAATTAATCACAGAAGTTATATTCGAAATAAATTCATAATACTCCTATTCGCAATCACAAATACTAAGTAAGGCACTTAATCAATAATTTCAATCAATTGTAAGTTTATTATCCCTAAAGATATCGATTCTGACCTGATGGTGTGTTCAAATTATTTCATATTCTCACGTCAACTAAATTTTGATTGATGACTCGTATCATCTCGTATGAAGATTAACATCATTGAGAAGCGCTGCTGCCACTGTATCTTCTTTTTCAATACAATCGTGCCACAAGAATCCCGCGTAAATGCTCATGCTAAACTCGAGGGCAAATCTGGTGTTGTACTATCAAAAATAGATACGATTTCGTAACTCAGCCAATTACTGAAAGCTTTCCGAGTTAAGCTCATCAATCATGGACTAAAAATTGGCCCTTACGTGTATTTGATTGCACGCTCTATTGAGGTTACTTGGAGGGCTTGGTGCCCACAGAAGCCTTAGTGAACAATAGCAGCCATAGTGAACAGCATTTTAACCATATTGAACCATTATACTCATATAGTGAATTACATTAACTATAATGAACCGTGTTAGCAATAGTGGACCACACCTTCCCTAAGGAATCATAGTGAACTATCATAATCAGATTCACCATAGTGAACCATAGTAGCCATAGAGAATCACAGAGCAAACATTATATTGAGCAGAGAACCACGGACCAAAATTATATTGAAAAAGTAATAGGCTAAATATGCCGTCATAATGATAGACTTATCGCATGTATTAAACATATTTTCTCACACAAGAAACTATACATTGCCCGATAACCGCAACTGTTATCAAAGATCGTGTGAAGCAAAATGTGTTCCTTAGCAATCTTGCAGCAGCCTCACTCCACATGCGATGGAGTTTTAGTTTGCAAATACAACTCAGACGCTCGTGCCCCATAAGAAATAAGGCTTTTTCAGAATGCGTCAAGTAATTAAGCTGCTGTTATTTTCGTGTGTTGCTAGCGTGATTTGCGTAAGTATTAAAATGTAACGTTATTTAATTCTAATTCAAACTAACGTCTATGGAGGATCAAATTTATCCGTCAAATAATGGCACAAATCGTTTGACATTTATTTATTTTCTGTTGTACAATTCATACACTTCAAGAATAGAAAAAGCTAAACCATTCCTCTGTCATTGAATTTGAAACATAAACATAAGAGTGCAAAACTTCAAGCCTGACTTATGTCGTGGTACACGTTGAACGCTCACCAGTCCTTCACATTCATCTTATTGATCGCTATCAATATCAATGACGTGAACCAACGAGTTTGTATGTAAAAGTAGAACGTAAGTCAACATTCGATGAACGATCTAATCCTTATAAAGAAAATTTTAATTGTGCAATTTGCAAAACTTTTTTAATCTTTAAACGACAAGGTTGTTGTAAAATAAAATTATTATAAATTTGTCGATGATATGAATGAAATATATCAGCAAGACGCCGGTCTGTGGGCTGAGGTGTACATGGAGGTGGGGGGAGAGGGGCAGTCGTTGTACACCAGGGACTACTTGTCCGACTTCACCTCACTCGTCCCGGGGGCTTCGTCCATCTGTGGCGCTGGGGTGTGAGTTACATCGCTCGAACTCCAAAACAAATTATAAATTTTCATGCGGAAGTTTCAAATAATAAATTTCGGTGTTCCCTTGAAGATCAATTAGAAGTACATTCTAAACCTAGAATAAGATAATTTATTAATTGTTAACGAATATTTCACACTACCGGTAGGTAGGCCTACTTGGTATGGCACTATGTTATCGATATTATTTTACTTGGAGATGAATATCGAACAACTTACCAGCCAGGATATCTTCCACGTTGTTTGAGTACATGTTGAACCAACAATTCAAGATAATATACTTCTAATCTAAGCACATATACGATTTAGTATAAGATCGTCTGCGCCATATTTAATGATGTATCATAATACCTTTATCTGTTACCATTTTTTGCAGTTGGCTGTTGTACGAGAAGCCCAAGTACGATGGTTCAGGCACGGGACAATCGCACGTTTTCTTGGGCTCCGGTGACTGTCAAGATATTCCTTTCAATGTATGTTATTGAGAATCAAGCTGGGAGAAAAAATTGACATCTAAGTTTCTTAATATATTTATAACTTATTTTTATAGATCAATAAACTAGAGTTATTACTGCAGAAAGTTATGTTATTACTGCAGGTAGCTATTAGTGCAGTTTGCTTACAGTTTATTACTGCACTGACTGTTTTACTGCAGGCTCGTTAAGATCTGTAGGCTTCGCGGTTATAATCATGGTCATGGTTAAAATCAGGGTCATTTCAGCTACACTATATCGCACTTTAGCTTTAACGATTCTAATGTAGCCTTTTAGCCATCAGGTCCTACACTTTTACACATCAGGCTTTTATACAATCTTCTGTCATTTTGATTCATTGTACAATCAAGAATCTACTGGGAATTTGAATTATCGTATACGGTATAAGCTAATTCCTCCCTCGAATCTATTTGATTTCCAATCGCCCATAACGCGAACCCTCGTGCCGCAGGCAACCTCTATCCGCCAGGCGGGTTCACCCTCGGTGTTCGACCGGCCGTCACTGACGTTGTATGCATACACGCACTTCCGTAGCCTGGAGCTCTACATCACGGAAGACTTACCCTTCCTCGGCGTCTTCTCTGACCAGGCTTACTCGGCGGTGGTCACCGGCTCGTTGCCCTGGACTGTTTACACGTGCGTCACTGAGTTTTGCTATTTTCCATTGTTCGAAACTCTAGTTAACGGTCCTTGAGATATGAAGTGCATTGCATCAAGTTAATATACCCCAGACAAATAAATAATCAGTCGTCAGTCGTATGAACAATTCATTCGTCCATATATAAGTCTAGTGTATCCAAATTCGCATAGCTGTGTTAAAAACCTCGAACAAAAGTGGAAATGAATAGGATTGCGTAAATGAAAATATCTGTCAGCGTGTGTATGAGCTAAACAAGCACAATTTTTTCGAATACGTATGTCATTTAAGATTTATTAGCTTTTTTCAGGTTATATCCGACGAACGCAAGGTTGTTATCGATAAAATAATTGAACATTTTTATGCCTATATTTTTATAGTAAGATTAACTTTATTCTCTATAGAGCCGTTACAAACCGCCACATACACAAAACAAGAAAGTCAGAAGTGGGTGCGAAAAAAACTACATAGCTAAGGACCAATAACATAAATTAAGTTTTTTTAATGATTAGCTCATATCAACTCTGTGCTAGTGACATTTTTTAGTATTAAGTTTTTAACGGGTGCCGAGAAGCGAATTACGGCAAAAAGATATGATGCTGTAAATAATTGCCTAATTGTATGGTAATCTCAACAAATGTGCCATGAACATATTTTAGTTTTACAAAACAGCATGAGGTAGCAAGTTAAGCTAAATTATGCAAGTATAGGACCAAGCACTGGTTTATGAGCATGAATCATCAATACCCAGCCTTGTGATATCATTCGCAAGTTCCAAGAACCTGAACCATTCAATCGCATATAAACGACCAATCCCAGATACGAGAGTTGCTGCACAACGACCAGAAACTGACATAATTTCCAACATCTCCTGTCTATGACACAATTCTAGTAAAAATTGCACTTCATTGCGTCGCAAGCACCATAACTTTACGAGTACCAACCGAAATACTATATTGATATTATATTTAATCGATAAACTAGTCAATTGCTTGATATAAGTGTTTCGGACCAGGACTAGACCAACGAATTGAAGGTTCGAAACCTGCAACGAGTTTCAAAAATCCTGGTCGAAATCAGTGAAAGCCGTGTTGTTGAGAATTGGCGAAAGGCGAACATAGCCTATTCAAACCTGACGCCGTTATATTATATTATAATCCTGATTAATTTACTGACTCAGATACGACAGCTACGGCGGACAAGGCACGTGCTTGTCTCCCAACGAGACTGTGGAGGTGGGTGGGGCGACGGTGGGGGTAGGCCTGTTCCCCACATACTACGAACTCGGCAGCTCCGGTCTCATCAGGAGCGTGCGGCGCGGCTGCGACTTCTAAATCTATTTCCTGTCTCAAAACATACAACGAAAAATAAACACGACAAACCAAGCAGGCCTATTCCTACACGCCTACGCTACTTTAATGTACTTGCAACTATTTCTTAGACATTCGTGGCTCGCTTGCTTGCTTTGTACGAGGTGAAGCAAGCAGACTGAATGGCTAGCATGACCATACGTTTGAATTTCTCCAGAAAATTTTTGTACTCTCATTAATTACCCTTTGCTTATGAAATTTGAGCTATAATTTTTAAAGATTGACGGACTTGGTCATTACAGAATTAATAAATTGAATGTGATACGTCCCTGAATAGTTTTATTCGGACTCAGAACTGCATCGAAGTTGAATCCAGCCAAATTAAATATGAAGGTTCGGGAGAAAACGATAGAAGGCAAAGGCTGTGGTAAATCTTTTATTACTAAACGAATCAATCCACGTGTACATGCACAATTTTATCCCTTTGGCTGTAATTTAAAAATTGCAGTAAACTCCCGTGGAAAACGCTCATACGTTCATCAACTTCGGAAATTCAACCACGTCTGCGTGGAGACCTCATTGAAGTATTCAAGTATACTCATGGTTTATACAAAGTCCCCGAAGGATTGCGCTGCAACTTGTCCACGCGACAACATTTCTTCTCGCTGCGAATCAACGACATGTGGAACAGCCTCCCTGATTACATCGTTGGCGCTCCGAGTATGAACGCCTTCAAGAACAGACTAGATAAAGCTATGGAAAAATATATGTTCAGATTTGAAATGCCTAGCACCATATCAAACCCGTTGGAAGTCTAGTAGCTATTTCAAACTATGGTCAGTCTTGAAAAGGTTTCGGTCAAATGACAAGATTTTAGATCCTCAATGAACACAAGTCACGAAAAGTTCCAGATTCGGCGACAGGCCACATCATGCCTACTCTTTAGCGCCGACATCACTGTGTTATGTTAAATTGTTCTTTATGAGGTTAAAGTGTGGCAACATCTGCTAGAATAAGCAGCTTGCGGACACGTATATCCGCCCATGTATCCGCCGGCCACTTGTGTTTCCTCCGTCCGCGACTCATGTCGCTTTACCGGGCGGTTCAGTGTTCCTAGTTCACATTCTTTTCGCACACATAGAGCAATCAGATCTCCTGAGCGGCCGACGAAGGGGACTGCGTGAGCGCTGGCAAGATTTATGGATGCTGGAGGTAAATGCGAACAGGAAGGGAGTCCACCTGACCGCAATACGCAGCAATTTGTCTCCTGTCCAATGGAATGAATGGATGGTTGCGCCTACGCGGCCTACCCCCGCTACCCGTAGAGCTGCGGTCGTTCTGGCCCGACTCCGCCTGGGGCCCTGGGCCACGTGGCCCTTGCCGCCTTGGTGCGTATATGCTTGGTATGTCACCCTCTCCAATGTGTGGCAACTGCAACGTGGAAGATACAATTGAGCACTGCCTACTCATCTGTGGACTACATCGGGAAGCTCGCTGGCAGCTGGAAAATGCAGTGACCACTTACCACCTATGGCTGCACCGCCTGCATGGCATAGATCCTCTTACAGTTCGTGACCTGCTGGGTGGGGGAGACTTCCCACAAGGCACGAAGTCCCCAATTTGCAATAATAAAGGCCACAGTTGCGTACATCAAGAGTACAGCCACTGAGCTACAGGACGCTTAAATAACCTCTGAAAGAACAGCATTTACAGCAAGACCTCTCAGTCTGACCTCCTAATGACACCACTCTGACCTAATGGAAAACTGCTGAAGATCTTTTGATTATTCCAGGTGCAACAAGTGCCCTGTGGCCTGTAGAGTGTAGACTGTAGAGTTAAGAGAGCAACTCCTATCATCTCAAAACGGAAAACAACTTATTCTTTTCGTACATTTTAGACTTAGGTCTTAGAGTATATTTTTCTTGTAATTTTCTGATATTTAATTACCATAACCTTGCCAACGTTTTTAATATGTATTTATTTAAATAAGTATGTATTGTTCTTTGCAGATTTATTCAAGAATTGCTAGTGAATACTGAATACTGATCATTTTCTTCATTATTAAACAAAGTAAAGTGAAGTTGTGAACTTAGCCTACTTACCTAGTATAAAATTACTGAACCTCCTTTTAAGCCTCCTCTCTACGGTAGAGCTTGCCGCTTGGCACATCATCGACATCAGGTCAGAACTCAGAAAGTATAACTGGTACTGAACTGTTCTAGACTTCTAGCCTTCTTGGACCTAGGTATTGAGTCCTTAGACTCAGTAACTTAGACTTTAGAGTTTAGAGGAAGGCATTTAGTACTAGAGACGTAGAGAGATCAACTAACATAAGGAATTAAGAATTTTTTAGTTCAAATCGTTACTTATTAAGTTATTCATTTATATTAATTTCAAAATTTCACACCTATTCTAGAGTTGTGATGGGATTGGGACCATGCCCCAATAATGCCCTCGCCCCATAGGGTTGGGTTGGAGTTTGGACTGCTGGAGCAGCGGAGCTGGGCTCCTCTGTGCAGACTGCAGAGAGTGGATGAATATTGCAAGATCTTTGGCAACGCTTCAGTAGCAAAATTTCTGCCTTCAGAAAATCTTGCAACACATTTAGATTGAAATTTTTGCATTTAATAAATTTGTCAGTCTTTGGCCAACTATTTAAAAAAAAAATAAGGTTTCCACTTTCCAGCATGTTGGATGGATCAGGATGCAGTGAAGCAGCTGATTGAGCTGAAGTTTTTAGGGTAAAATTAGTTTTTTGGGGTAACATGTGCACGCAACCTTGTAAATAAGTTCGTGGCTTGTAAATAGTTTTTCATTACTCAGCGTAAATGGCTTCTCATTAAAAATTACCCGGTGACGCATCTTAAAATTACCCGGCAACCACACTCAGGAAGATGTATATAAACGGGGAAATTTCCCGCGCAAATATAGTTTTTTATATTTTCTTCGCGCACGCGTTTGTGCAAATCACGGTCATCGATTCCATGCGGCGCAGCACTTGGCGCGGGCCGCGGAGCCGTCCGACACAGTTCTGATTTAGACAGTTTTCATCTGAATGGAATGGCAACATCGTCTGTAGATTTCAAGTAACGCTGAACGATCTTCGACTTCAAGTGTGATGTGTTCCTCTCAAGCTATTCTCATTTTTATTAATGTTTGTTGTTTGCCTCTATAATTAACCTTCATCGTTGCAATAAAAATGAAAATTTATAATTAAGATAGATTTATTCCAGTGCCTGTGTTTTTTTATGCAATTAGCACTTATTAGTGAATGAATGATTTGCGGTGTGGTTCTTTAATCTTGACTTCTGCAGTTCGCGCAATCCCGGCCATCAATTCTATGCCGCACAAGAGCAGTTTGTGGAGGAACAGACGCAATACTCAGTACAGTATGCCTTTAATTATCCTTCAATAATACATGATTTTTCTTGATATGGAAATTTGGTGAATGAGAAATCTAGAACTTTATTTTGGAAGAAATTATCTCCAAAGTCATATGGCAACACTGAACACCGTATTTTTACATTTCGTATGTTTAAAAGCTGCAGTTTAAGATTACCATATGTTCCGTATCTGACAAGCGGAAGAGTCAGAAGTAACCCGGAGTCCCTGACATTTCTTACATTTTATTTTTGTTAGTTCGACTCGCGTAGTTGATATAAACTCTGATGACCAACGAAATATAACTTTTTAATAGGGAAACTTCATGTTTATTTAACTTTATTATACTACAAGTAATGATCTTTATTTAATTATAGCCATGGTGAAATGTTTTTTTTTGTGAAGCCCGCTCCTAGATCATTAATGTTTTTATATAAATCCTCATATTGTTAGGGACGCTTGCCACTTCCATCAGATCTTAAAATGTAAAAGTTTAATAGATACAGATTTGTATGAATAAAGGCCATTCAATATTGTTAGCTACATTAAATTGAGGGTGGAACATGGCAATAGCAATGATTAATTTATCTGAAGCAACCTTTACAAAATAGTGTCAAACAAGCAAACGGATGTCATGTCAACCGGAACTCGAACACCACAGCAGAGAGTATTTTATGCAGCTAATGAATTTCGCAAACTTTGCTGGAAGAGAGATTATTGAATTTTAGAAAAAAGGCAAAAATTTATGCGCCCAAAAAAATGTGGTCATTAAAGAGTCAACAGTTTTCTCGTGACAAAAACTCCAATGTGACTGATAAATATCAATAGAGTTGACATCCTGCAACACAAAACAGTAACAAGTGGTTGTGTAATCAAATAATGTATTTCTAGATTGATAATATTGAATATCGGGTTTGTACTTTTATTAAAAACCTTGTAACACAAGAATTACCTGTTGGTCCTGTCTTACCCCATGCCCGGTCCCATCTTACCCCAGTGGGGTAAGATGGGACCAGCTCACTTTTTTTAATCTGTACAGAAAACTATGTTGTATGCAGAAAGTCTGAGTTGTAGCTTAGAAGCCCATTTCATAACTACACCTTGTGATAGGTTTAGGGTTTTTTATTTATTCATGGTATAGATGCTACATGCTTGTTAGTGATTTCGGTCCTGTCTTACCCCATCTGACTATATACAATGTACGATGATGACCACCGGCGTGCAGGAATTGGCAACGCTCGTAAGTGTGACTAGTAAGTTGAGAAACTGGTAGCTTAAGAAGTCTTGAAGCTGCATTTCTTGCAACCATTGACTAGGTATTCAAAGTTTTTGCACTATTTACTTTGATAGAGGAAAACCGACACCTAGTTTGAAGTATTTAGGCCGGAGTTTGCATTTTCAACACATTCAGTGAGTGTTGGAAATGCGAACTCCGGCCCCAATTATGCACGGTATGGAAATGGAACAGGTACGAAATAAAACATGTCATAAAATATACGTCATTAGCTGAGGTTAGGTTCAAGCCAGGAACAAGTTCCTATGGCGACCATGACAAAGGGTGGTTGGGTTAGGTTTAATTATGATGGGTAAGGCAAGGTTAGTTCAGGCTAGCTTAGGTTAGGTTTTGATAGGATAAGTTAGGTTAGGTTAAGTTATGTTAGGTTGGGTTGGGTTAGGACAGGTTAGGTTACGACAGGTTAGGTTAGGATATGTCAGGGTGTGTTCAGTTTGGTTAGGGTTTTTTGGCTAGGTAAAACTAATGTAAGACTGTTTTATACACTAATTACTCACACAGGAAAAGGCCACAATTGGGGGATTGCTGTGTGCAGTAGGAATTGTGTGGCAAAAAGAAGAAGAGAGAAGAATAAAAAATAGATAAAAAAATGTATAGCAGCTGATCTGGTTTATATCAATTTCAAAATTTCACATACCTATTCTAGAGTTGTGATGGGACCATGCCCCAATGGGGTTGGGTTGGACTGCTGGGCTCCACTGTGCAGACTGCAGAGAGTGGATGAATATTGCAAGATCTT